CCCCTCACGTTCGGCACGCTGCCCCGCCTACACACATCCTGACAGCCACATCCGCAGCCGGATTAAAAGGTCCGCGCGGACTTTTGGGGCTGCCAACCGAGAGGAGGCAGGGGAGCGGCCGACCGAGAGGAGGGAGGGGAGCAGGCGCCCGGCACACAGAAGAGCCGCATTAGACTGGGTAAAGAGCCGCATGTGGCTCGCGAGCCGCAGCTTGCCGACCACTGAATCATTAGATTCTAATGATTGGTCTATTTGTGAGCCGAAGCCACATGTTACAGATGAAATTGGAATTTTTCCCACGGCACACCAGACAATATCTCACGGCACACTAGTGTGCCGCGGCACAGTGGTTGAAAAACGCTGTCCTAAAATTTGTACGTGATATTTATTTTGGTGGCATGCAGAGCCAAAAATATGAAAATTGTGCCTGTGTCCAAATATATATGGCTCTAACTGTGTTGTGTATGTATATATATATATATACATATATGTATATATATATATATATACATATATATATATATATATATATATACATATATATATATATATATATATATATATATATATATATACTGTATATATAGTGGGACCTCGCTTCAAATGGTAGAGCTTTTGTAACGCACACAGCAAATCACTTTGTTTAAGAGCCGTTTCAGCCCATTTTTATTTAAACGACAGTTCAATAACATAAGAGGTTTCCCACGCAGGGGTATCTATCATCAATATAAACGAAAAAATTCAGCCTCCTGGCTCTCTCAGATATAAACAATCTTCCTCTGGCCTTTCTCTTCAGGCTTACATCTTTCTCCTGCAGACTCCTTCAAAAATGGCTCTTGCACACAGCTAGCCACTAGCACACAGCTACTCCCGAGCAGCCCCTTGCTGCTTTTGGCTTCCACCTCTCCTAGGTGAAGCCCACCTGACTTCAAGGCAGTGACGTCCTGTCTGCTGGGGTGGAGCCCTCCTGACTCCTGTCTGCCAGGGTGGAGCCCAGAATCATGGCCTAGCCTCCACAAAAAGGCCTGCACGCACCTGTGCAATCAGCGCGCTGGCTGCTCTCAAAACATGGGCCCAGGATCGGAGATTTCATCCCTCCCAAATCTCTTAGAAATCTCCAGGCTACAGGCCCCAATACAGGCTTTACAATCCAAAGAGGAAACTGATAAACCAGTTTCCACTGCATTATGAGAACTGCCTGGAGCCCCTCAACCTGTATGGTTGAGAGTCCTGGGTCACCACCGTGATATCCACCGTGGCAGGCTACCGCACTGCCACAATATATATATATATATATATATATATATATATATATATATATTGCACATACAGTATATATGTACTTATCTGCATAGTTATTAACATGAAAACATTTTAGTAACAGTATTCTTTTAGGGCACAGCTTACTGGGTTGTAAAAATGGCATACAAATGTTTGTAGGGTGGCATAATGCTATCATTCACCTAAAAAGTATTTGTTCCTGCAGAAAATATTTCATTCTTTTACATGTACAATCATCAGAGAACACATAACAAATGGCACATGTGAAATGAAGTAGGTGATATCATCATTTACATGCAGTACCTACATTTATAAAAAATCATGTCAGTGTCTACTGTATTTTATTTTAAATTATATCTAAAGTATTTTTTTTTTCGTTTTGGATACAGTGCTCTCTGTGTCTTCCCTGAGGAGATTAGCTCCCTCTGTTTGTTACCAATATCATGGGCATTGAAAGTGAGGAAAAATCCAAAATTTGCTTTTGTCACTAGAAGAGGAATACAAGGGAAAGCATCCAGTAGACATTTGTTCCAATACTGTCTAAACGGGGTTCCCTCATTTTGGAGCGATTTAATCTCACTTGATGCTGTGTATATAGAACAGGAAGTGAAGGAATATCTCCACAATGGTACATAGGTGGCAAGAAAAAAACTAATGGAATTTTAACATATATCCAAATAAAGTATGGATTTTAGATATACTTAAACTAGTGTGTGTTGTAAGTGCTTGTACATTACACCAGGACATAGTTTTATATTTGTGTGCCCTTAGAAATTTGTGATCTCAATCAAGGTTGAAAATGTGAAGGAAAATCCAATGTTCTGCCGTGGTTTAATCACACTCAGCCTGCAAAATGAAAATGACGAAGTGCCTATTTTTCAGTAAGCAAATATTACACATTTTACTTACAATTTTAATCAAAAACACATTTGTTTGATTTGTCTTACTAATAGTTCAGAAATTGTATATAAAAGTTGAGGTTATGTACAGTCTGGTGGACCTAGCATGAAAGGACACATACTATATAATAATAGAAAAGTCATGATGGGGCATAATAAATGCCAACTACAGAACAGCATGAAATTGGAAATTGTATATATTATCTTCACTTATGAGGTGGCAATGGTATGTCATATTCACTAGTGTAGTAATAATGCAAATACTCTGAAATGAGTTGGATATAATAGCTCATGTCACCTTAACCACTTAAGGACCACCCACAAATGCACTGCGATGGGTGGCAGCTACACGATGGGTATGGCGCTGGTGCTCTACCAATACAGGGGCGCCCACCTTGTTGCCCTAAGTTTTTGGGAAATGAATAAAGAAAGTGAAAATTTATTTTTTCTTTTCTTTTTTTCTTTTTCAAAACCCTGTGACAAAAATCATATCTGAAAAATAGTCACCATGCCGCTTATCAAATTCCTTGGGTTATCAAGTTTCCAAAAAGGGGTCCTTTGGGGGGGGATGTTTGTACTATCCTGGTATTTTAGGGCCTCCCAAACTGTGATAGGTAGTGGGGAAGAGATATGAGGAAATATGCCCTTTGAAAGCCTGGAGGTGGTCATTGGATTTTGGGGTGCTTGTATGTAGCTAGGCTGCCAAAAAGTCTCTCATATATGGTATCTCCATACTTGGGAGAAGTAGCAGAATGCGTTTTTAGGGTGTTATTCCACATTAGTGATGGGCCGAACACTCCCTTTTTGGTTCGCAGTAAAGCATTTGAACCTAATGAAAGTTCAACTGCAAACTTTGAACCGGGACAATTCACTAAGCAATATCTTATTGCATCCGAGTATGTGGTAAGATACCGCACAGCATTTTTCTAAAAAAACTACTAAAATATTGCATAAGTTATATTATTAAGCCATGCGGTATTTTAGAAGTGAAAACTTTCCTTAATGTTTCAGCGGAAACCCCGCTGACAGCTGATTGTAAAAAGAATTGCCAGCAATTAAAAAATTAGCAAACAAATGGCTTGGAGTCCCACGGCAAAATTAAAAAAAAAATGGCATGGGTTTCCCCCCAAGATCCATACCAGACCCTCATCCAAGCATGCAGCCCAGCAGCTCAAAAAGGGGGGGGAGTGAGTGAGCACCTCCCCTCCTGAACCATACCATTCCACATGCCGTCAACATGGGGGGTGCTTTGGGGCAGAGGGGGGCTTTCCCTAAAGCACCTTGTCCTCATGTTGATGGAGATAAAAGCCCCTTCTGCATAATCATGGCCGGTAGCTGTGGGGGTCTGTGGGCAGGGGACTTATTGGAATCTGGAAGATCCCCCAGATTCTGGCCCCCCCCGTTATGTGAATGAGTATGGGGTACATGGTACCAGTACTCATTCAGAAAAAAAAGTGTAGTGTAAAAATTGACAGAAGACAGTGTTTGACAAGTCCTTTATTAAAAACAAAAATCAAAAAAAGTCCCACGAAGTAGACATCAACTGCTTGACCTCGCCTCCTTGTGACATCATCATGTGCTGTGAATGGCCTGGGGTCAGGTGCATTGTGTTGGCCAATCACAATGCACTGTCAGTGGGCATTGCATTGTGTGGTGCGGTGGGCGAATAGCCTGCCGAACGCCCTTACCGTTCGTGTGTTTGCTGAACACACGAACGGCCAATGCTTGAGTCGAACTTAAGTTTGACTCGAACATCAAGTCCAACATTATTCCACATATACCCATTGGCATGCGTGAGCAATATATCATTTAAGTGACAACTTTGTGTAAAATAAAAAAAAAATGGTAATTTTCCAAAATGTTACATGGACTCAACATGCCCCTCTCAGCAAATTCCTTGGTGTGTCTACTTTCCAAAAAGGGATCATTTGGGGTTTTTTGCACTGCCATGGAATTTTAGCACCTCAAGAAATGTGATAGGCAGTCAGAAAGTAAAAGCTGCGTAAATTGCAATATATATACCATAGTTTGTAGATACTATAACTTTCACACAAACCAATTAATATACACGTATTGGGATTTTTTTTACCAAAGACATGTAGCAGATTACATGTTGCCTGAATTTATGACTAACTTTGAGTTTACTGGATATTTTTTATAACCGAAAGTAGAAAATATAGTTTTCTTTAAAAATTTTTTGTCTTTTTTTGTTTTAGCACAAAAATTTAAAAAACCCAGTGGTGATCAAATACCACCAAAGGAAAGCTGTATTTGTTTGAAAAAAGGACATAAAATTTTGTTTGGGTACAGAGTTACATGACCTTGCAATGACCACTTAAAATAGAGCAGTGCCGAGTAGCAAAAAATGGCCTGGTCATTAACCACTAGCCTACAGGGCACTTATACCCCCTTCCTGCCCAGGCCAATTTCCAGCTTTCAGCGCTGTCACACTTTGAATGACAATTGCGCGGTCATGCAACACTGTACCCATATGAAATTTTTATCATTTTTTTGAGACAAATAGATCTTTCTTTTAGTGGTATTTAATCACCTCTGGGATTTTTATTTTTTCTTAAACAAACCAAAAACCACTGAAAATTTTGAAAAAAAAAACATTTTTTCTTAGTTTTTGTTATACAATTTTGTAAATAAGTGATTTTTCTCCTTCACTGATGTGCGCTAATGAGGCTGCAGTGATGGGCACTGATAGGCTGCACTGATGGACACTGATAGGTGGCACTGATGGGCACTGATGAGGAGGCACTGGTAGGTTGCACTGATGGGCATTGACAGGCATCACTGATGGGCACTGAAAGGCAGCACTGATACATGACACTGATACATGACACTGATATATGGCACTGATAGGCAGCACTGACTGGCGACTGGCACTGATGAGTGATATTGAAAGGCAGTTCATATGGGCACTGATATGTGGCATTGATGTGCACTGGTATGCACTGATATGTGGCATTGATGTGGCACTGATGGGCACTGGCACGTCGCACTGATGGGCACTGGCACAAGGCACTGATGAGCACTGACAGGTGGCACTTCTGGGGCCACACTGATCATCAGGGCACATTGATCATCAGTGCCCTGATGATCAGTGTACATGTCCCCTCCGCGTAAAGCCGATTACCAGCTCTCCTCTCCTCTCGAGCTGTCAGCGTGACAGCTCAAGCGGAGAGAAATGCTGATAACCGGCATTTCCGTGTTTACATGTGATCAGCTGTGAGTGGACACAGCTGATCACATGACCGAACCGACATCTTCGGCTCTTTCCGTGATCCGTTGTGTCCGAGGGACACAGCGCACCAGCGATCGACGTGCTGCGCGCTCCCTGAGCCGCGCATGCGCAGTGAGAATGGTAGGACGTCATATTACGTCCTATCAGAATGAGAGAACCACCATGCGCCCATCATTGTACTATAGGGCGGGCAGAAGGTGGTTAAGGGGGGGGGGTAAATCTTCCAGAGTGCAAGTGGTAAAAGTGGTAATAAAACCCAAAACAAAAAAATCATATATTGCAGCTTACCAATCCTTATCCGTGATGGCTACATTCCTTTTCTCTTTTTAGACTTTTTTTCCCTTGATGATCTTGCCAGTGATACACTTCCTGTCTTATGCTATCTCCACTCCGCTGGAGGTGCAATGGAGACACCTTTGAACAATGACATTGTCAGTCTGAGGAAAGGTTGTTTTTAGATGCACCAGCAGATTTAGGTGAACTTGACTAACAAAACCAAAACACAGCTAAAACTTTTTTAAAGAGTTACTTAACTTTTGTTGAGAATAAAAACAACCAACTCTGGGTAATCAATGTACACTACACGGATTTTAACAAACTTTGTTCAGATTCCAGTTTAAAAGCTGTTTACTCAACTATGTCTTTTGGATACTGATTCTGAATGGGACTAATTCATTTTAATCAGCTGGTGCACTTTTAAGGTTCTGAAGAGAAAAGTTGCAGTGTTTTCATCCATTTAGAAGTGATTAACCCTTTGGGAGTATCTCACCAAAAATTATATTTTTGTTGCAGGGGCTTCCTAAAATTTGATTTGTATCTTAGTGCAGAAAATCAAGCAGAAAATGACATTTCTGGGGACGTTCTATACACCAACTAAGTAGAAAAGGCCTCCAGGTTGCCATATTGCTTTGCACTTTCCAGAAATTTACAGTGCTGCACATTGAAAATGGCTTGTTTAGCAATTGTATATGCTATTGAATTTTTTTTTAATTCCTATATTTTTCCCACAAAAGCGTAGTTACCTTTTAATCATTTCTTTACTTTAGCAATATAGATTTTTCTTCAATTAATAAAAACTGACCAATGTAAGTGTCCCTGTCAGTATTAAACATGTTTTCCTCAACACTCTAACTGCCACTTTTGCTGGACAGTTTGGCCTGTTAAAGGAAGTTATAAAAAAACCAGACTTACTGGAGGTATCAACAGGTAAAAATAAAGAGAAGAAAAACTAAGAACATTAAAACTAGTTCAGCCACCCAATCTAAGAAGGGCAGTGCTACTTTAAGGCGGACAATTTTATTAACTAATTTACTGCTAATTTTGACAATTTACATTTTAGCTATGTTCCATTAGGGATAAGCCAAATGTACTGGGGCTCAGTTCACTAGTTCTGAATGTTACGCCAAACTCCATTACAGTCGATAGAAGCAAAATCTTTAAAATCAATCATGACCATTTTCAAGGCTAATAGGCAACAATTGGTAAAATAATTGGCATAGGGACACTGGGCACTGCAAGAGGAAACATGTACCAATTTCAAAAAGCATTTTTCAAAAAAACACCGTTTTACGGGGTGCAGTGATTTTCATAATGTTTAAAGTGAAACATTAAAAATCCACAATTCCTCTACAAAACATGTTTGGAGGATGTCATTGAATTGGGGCACACGTGTGATGTATACATAGTACAACAGCAAAACTGACATTTACAAAGTAAAAAAACATGCTTTTTAAATTTACATTTTCAATCCATCTTGGTTTTCCTTGCAAAAAATGTCATAAGGCCCCTCTTAACTTACATACCAGACCCTTAACCCCTTCATGATGGAGGGTAAAACAAATCTTAACACTTGAACACAGTTTTGCTATTTCAGTATGTGTTAATAAAACTGTACATATCAGAACTACTTAGTGTATCCAGGTGAATTACAAATTGTTCTTTCATCTGGTAATAAATGGTAATAGATATGTCCTGTTTTTTTTTCTTGTCAAAGGAAAACTGGCACAAAATTGTAAAAACAATTTTTTTTTCAATGTAGTTGTATATTTCTTACTATTTTCATAGCCAACCACCAAAAAACAAATAAAAATAAATTCTGATTCTCTTGATGATCATAACATACCACATATTTATATGTTATTTGTACCCATAGTAAGGCCCAGAAACAATAATGTGCTTTTTTTTTTTATCTCACTTAAAAACATTTGCAATGCTAAAACAATATAATTTATTGACACAGATATAAAAGGCAATCATTCTATAATTAAAAATTAAATTTTTGGAATATAGCATGATACCCCAAACCCATATTGCAGTAGAGGCACCCAGTTGTCATATGTTGTAATGGGAACCCAAATTTGATATCCGGGTCCTCTAACTGCAGGGATTGCACCGTCCACAATTAGCTCAGCTCTATATGTTTCATGATTGAGATCGCTTCTTCAGGAGCTAGTATATAGCATTAAAATGAGAGATTAATCATAAAAGAAGATATGCGCACTCCTAAGGCGGGAAATAGCTCCATCAACTCCTAGCGGGAAAGTCACCAAGGTGGGTGCAGGGGGTGCACAGCAAAAGAGGTCCCCAATGATTATGGGTACCTATGGCTTAACATTAGTGCCTTCTGGTTTGCTGTACGGTCCTTCACATAGGGCCTTGTGCAAACTACTATGTACAAGAAAGGGTATAGACGTAAGCTTCAAAGTATCATCATTTGTATGCATAAACCGCTTAAATCCATCCACAAGGCCATATAGATAACAACGCCAGCGTATCTAATCTTTATATTTGTCACTGCAGCCATAAACAAGTCCTTGCCACTGAGGTGGGCCATGGTTCAGTCTCCCAGCTTAGCCTAAAGTGTGTCCTTAGGACGTGGCACTTAAATACAACCGTTGTACCACGGCACCACCTGGGGGATACAACCCATTAATTAGTAATGTATTTATTTTACACACACTTCTTTTGTTAACAGTTTTCTCCACTAGCAAGAAAAAAAGGATACAAAGTATATTTTCCTCCAATCGCACATGGGGGCTATACAGTGACTGATCGTAGTGATAGTCAATCAGAGGCTATCACAGTGATCAGGTGATTGGGAACTGTGCCTTCTGGTCCCCGATTGTTAGTACTGGAGGAGGGAGTTGCAGTAGTTGAGGTGAGAGATAACCAAGGAGTGAATTAGAAGCTTTGTAGTGCCATTGGTTAGTAAGGGGCATATTTTGTAGATGTGGAGGTTGAGGTGGCAAGATTTGGACAGTGATTAGATATGCAACTGAAAGGAGAGTTCAGAATCCTGGATTACACCTAGCACCCTGGCATGTAGAGATGTACTGAAAGTTGTGCCATTGATCTTGACAGGGAAGTCAGGGGAAGAGGCATGTGGGGAAAGAAATATTTTGACCTTGGTTTTGGATAGATTGAGTTTGAGGAAGTGGTGTGACATCCAGACTAATACATCTGTTAGTAAACTAATGATACGTGAGGAGGCTGATGGAGTAAGCTGAGGGGCAGAAAGATAGATTTGGATGTCATCAACATACAAATCATATTATATCATCAGCTGACCCAAGGAGGAGGTGTAGATAAAAATAAGAGAGGTCTAAAAACAGAACCTTGGGGGACCCTGACAGAAAAAAGGAAGAGGAGAGGAGGAAATAAAATTGTAAGTGACACTGAAGGTGTAGTGGGATAGGTAAGATGAGAAGCAATGAAGAGTACAGGCTCATAAACCTAAGGAGTGGAGTTTTTGGAGGAGGAGGGGGTGGTCCACTGTTTCAAAGAAAATCTGTAAATATGTAGGTTGCCATTTCTTAGTCCATTTGACAATGCTAGTTGCCTGGCTGTTGTGTGGTTTCTTTAAATTCAGTACTTTCTGAGTCAATGACTTAGAGCATGTATGAAGATAAATATTTTGATATTTCTCTTAAAACCAATGGATTTAAGATTTGCGGTTCCCACTAATTTATGGTGACATTTCCAGGACAAAATGTTAAAGAACCCATAATGCCCTGCCTATAATAATGACCAATAATTAGGGCTAGGGATGTCTTTGGGTTCAGGTTAAACATGAGTTTGACACAAAGACACTGGCCAATTTCTTCTTCAGGCCAGAGGGTGGTAGAGCCCATGGCATCTTCAGTTGGCAAGTATATGTGTGACAATAGCACTTACCTACTGGTCGCTCTTCAAAATTCCTACATGTACCTCGACTGGCACAAATCCTAAAATTGGCGGTGCAGTGGTTTATCATGCAGTACCCTAGCCTCCTAGTTCTACATCAGGCCAGAAGGCATTTGTGGGCAAGTTAGGTGGTCATACATGCCGCTTGGAATAAATACAGTTCTAATATCAGCTGCCTGACAACCATTTCATCTTTGACACCCGCTTTCATATCAAAATCTTTGGTCGCACCTTTCACATCAGAGTCCTCAGTGGCTCCCTTTCACATCAGTGTTTAAGCCCTTCCTTTTTCATAAGAGTCCTTAGATCCTCCCTTACTTTTCACATCCTCTGAGTCCTCTGTTCCCCCATCTTCTCACATCACTTCAAAGTCCTCAGACTTCCCCCTTCATTTGAGAGTTCTAGCTTCCAAAATTAACCAGGGGGTGGTTGTGGCAATTGGCAGGAGGCAGAGCAGATCTAGATAGAGGTAGCATTCTGACCTTTTCTGAGAGCTAGGGCTGCCCTTAATGCTGCCTTCCATGGATTAACATAACCTGCCTGCACCATAGAAATGCATGACACTGCATAAACATGGGATGCAATATGTCTCCCATGACAAACCCAAATATAAAAACCCCATTTAAAGATTGCCGGCATATATACAATATTTTATCCTATGATATATTTAGCGCATAATAGAAATTCTGATTAACAGAGTAATGTGCATGCAAATTTTAACATTGAAAATTATGAATATCAGTATTTTGCAAAATAATGTAACATACATTATACTGTTATAGAATAAGTGTATGTATTTATATTAATTTTGTATTTGTATGAATTGTAATTGTTGTTGTTTCTTTATTCAAATATGTTAGAAATTTGCCAAATAGGCCTATCAAAATCCCTGAAAATCTTGCTCCTGGAACAGTTATCATAAGGTTACAAGCAAC